CACGAAATCTGCACATGGAGGTTCACAAAGTGCTGTGCCTGCCACGACATCTGCACATGGAGGTTCACAAAGTGCTGCACCTGCCACGAAATCTGTACATGGAGGTTCACAAAGTGCTGTGCCTGCCACGAAATCTCCACATGGAGGTTCACAAAGTGCTGCGCCTGCCACGAAATCTGTGCATGGAGGTTCACAAAGTGCGGCGCCTGCTACGAAATCTGCACATGGAGGTTCACAAAGTGCTGCGTTTGCCAGGAAATCTGCACCTGGAGGTTCACAAAGTGCTGCACCGGCCACGAAATCTGCACATGGAGGTTCACAAAGTGCTGTGCCGCACCTGCCACGAAATTTGCACATGAGGGTTCACAAAGTGCTGCGCCTGCCACGAAATCTGCACCTCGAAGTTCACAAAGTGCTGCACCTGCCACGAAATCTGCACATGCAGGTTCACAAAGTGCTGGGCCTAGCACGAAATCTGCACTTCAAGAGACAAGTGAAAACTCTAACCACAATGGAGGGACGATTCGAGCATGATCCGACCATGACCCGAGACCGTCTCGCAACCGTCGTTCCGCAGAGCTAGACTTGCCAGGTTCGAAGCCACCGGTTCTATTGAAAAATACAGCATCTCGTGCGTCCGCTATCTCTCGAAAACGCATTTTGTATTGCGCCTGCCACGAAATCTGCACATGGAGGTTCACAAAGTGCTGCACCTGCCACGAAATCTGCACATGGAGGTTCACAAAGTGTTGTGCCTGCCACGAAATCTGTACATGGAGGTTCACAAAGCGCTGCACCTGCCACGAAATCTGCACATGGAGGTTCACAAAGTGCTGTGCCTGCCACGAAAAAACCAATGTCATGGAACTTGGTTGTTTCATGGAACTTGGCTTTTGCCATTTTGCTCGGCAACTCTAACTTGGGAAAAGCCTTACTTTGCCTGACACTAAGGCAGCTTTTTGCAATCCTGACTTGGGCAGGCTTATGATTGGCAAACCAATCCTGACACTAAGGCAGCTTTTTGCAATCCTGACTTGTTGCAGGCTTGTGATTGGCCAACCAATCCTGACACTAAGGCAGCTTTTTGCAATCCTGACTTGTTGCAGGCTTGTGATTGGCCAACCAATCCTGACAATCCTGACTTGGGCAGGTTTGGAAATTGACAAACCACTAGGTGTGAGAACCTTGACTTGGCATTTGCGAGTGTACAAAATTAATTAATCCAAGTGGGGCCTAGGCCTAGTATCTTTCCGTAACTCGGAAGTTTCATTCAGAAGATTCATTTTGGGTTTGGTTTTGTTTTTTGCCGTGGAAATTATTCAGAAGTTTTGGAATTGCCAGCTGTCAGTTTCCACTTTGAAAGCTTTGGGTCACATGCAGCGACGCCGTGGGCCAGCGAGTCCTCAGTGATAGGGTCTCAAGCCGCTGGGTTTTCCAATGGCGTTCAAGCGGCCAGCGTCTAGTGCTAATATGCGGCGTCCTGCAGCCAAGCGGCCTGCGATTTCAGATGATGCGCCGGCAAAGTCTCCCTCGGTTTTTGAAGAGTCAGAAGAAGAAACTGCGCGGATGTTTGGTTGCCTTCAGATTCAAACTTTTTGTTTCCTGGTTTTTAGGCAGAGAAATTGATCAAACCCACTGTGGGTTAATCTGTCGCGAAAGGAGTGGAGAGGAACATGGTGAATCTGAAGTATTCGCTGGTTCAGACGACGACGATGATGAGGGCGTCGAACTCCCTGCGCCTCCAGAGATCTCGAGCATCGGGGTCCCTGGTCCGATTTGATCATACCAACGAAGTTTGTGGTTGTTTCCAGGACATGTTTATTTGATGTAACGGTAGTAGATTCAGGGATGTACTGTGAGTAGATTGTTTTTTCAGGTGGACAACATGCTGCATGCGCATTTACTTCGGAATCCAGACTGCGTTGACCGCCTGGTTGAGAAACTGGAGATCCTGAGCCGAGAGTCGGGCGAGATCACAGCAGGCTCAATATGCAGTGGATGGGGCGTTGCCGAGATGGTCTGCAATGCCTTGAACTCGGCTTTGGCTCGTTTGGCGAAGAAGAGAGATCCTCCGAAGGCAGGGCTTACCAGAGGGGGGCTCGAGCAAATCTGGGCGCTGTTAGTGTTTGAAAATTGAACCCTTCGATTTCATTTCTTGCGATCACAGGTCTGTCTAGGCAACATTTTTGGGGTTCCTGTGATTGGGGTATGTTGACACGAGGGTTTTAGTTTGACCGATGGCTCAGCAGCTCAAATGACTTGGTCGGTCATGCGCAGTCGGGGCAGTCTTGGTAGTCAAGGCAGGCAGGTTCTTTAAATAGCAGAGAAACCTCTGGTTTCTGGGGTTGCTCCTGGGTGCCATGGATGAGTCGAAAACAAAAGGCGGTTCCCCTCCGCGAGCTTGTGCAGCGGCAATGCCGATGCAGCAAGCGAGATTGTCTCAGCCAATTTGCAGCTGATGTTAAACTGGTGGAAGCCAAGAGGGCAGAGTTTCGAGATTTGCCAACAGCCAAGAGAGAGATTTGGTTTTTTTGATGAAGACTTTTAATTTTTGTTTGCTAGGTCGCAGGCTCTTCTTGCATAGTTAATGACATCAACAGAGTTCTTTCGTGACATCAACAGAGTTCTTTGTTTGAGGAAGTGTGGTTGACAGCGGCCTTTCATTGTCCCACAGCCTTTTCGGGCGCAAGTGCTGCGTCCTCAAAGGATGAGATTGCTCTGGGCAGTGAGGCTGAGATTATGTACGCTTCAGATGATGACGAAGTCTTCTTCGAGTCAGACGCTGACGAAAATGGATCAGTTTTTGCTTCCACTGCAACTGATGAGTGTGGCCATCAGACAGCAAAGAGAAGGAAGTATACCCAGAGGACTTCAGAATCATTTCAGTTTTTGGGACGGGATGTATGCTTTGCTGCCTTGAGCCGATTGGTTGGTGTTGGATCCTCAACCTTGCAGAAGATCCGGCAAGGTTTGCCAACGTTCACGAACTGCGCAAGGCCAAGTTTACCTAAGCATCCACAGTACGGGTTCACCATGCGAGGTGAAGGCCAAGCGACATGGGAATCTGTTCTGAGTTTCCTTTGGGAAATCTACCACTCGACAGCTGAAGTCTTACCAAACAGATACGCCATGCCAGGTCAAGATGTGGAACCTCCATTCCCTGATGCTGACAGTACAGAGATCGACCGCATTGTGGAAGGGTTCAGCCGGACAGTCCAAGTTTCTTCCAACGATGCCAACTTGCTCTTGACAGGGCCAGGGACATTTTCTGGCCCTGTTCGGATGCTGCCTTATGGAACGAGAACTGAGCTGTTCTGGCAGTACGTTGCAGCTTGCGAGGCCAAGGGCGTGGCAGCGGGCTCATACTCCACCTTCATGCGTGTAGCCGGCGCGGTGATGCGCCCAAACAAATCTGGTGGGTTTTTGCAATTTAGAAAAAGCAGCGAACACACACAGTGCGACACGTGCTGGAAGCTTCGAAACAGAGTTGCAGAGGCAACGTCTATGTCTGAGAGGGCAGCTGCCAGGAAGGAGCACCACAGGCACATTCTGTCGCAGTGGAGAGACCGGCAGTGCTATTGGAATCACAGATCGATTTCCCATTCTGCTTTCAATTCTGCGTTGCACAATGGCCGGTGCCATGGCAAGATAGAGAGAAATGTTTTTCTAGTTTTTTTCTCTCGAAGTTTTCCTTACGGATTTTCCAATTTGTCCTGCATGGCTCAATGATGCAGGTCTGGATTCTCAACACTTCCTCCTTCAACGAGCCTGTTG